AAGCAATGAGGAACCATGGAAGCATGGAGGGATGGAAGCATGGAGGGAATACTCACTGAACTACCTTCGAAGGAACTCTCTTGCCCCGTGGAGATTCGTTGGCCCCATGCACACTCGCTTGCCCCCACTGGGCCCCTCAGTATCGGACAACTTAAAAGGTCCACATTAAGCTACCCTAATCAAATTCATCCCCACCTCCTACCCCCATGGTGCTTGGCGTCGGATCTCGGGTGATGGCCCAGGGTGCCCTCCAGCATGGGGTCCATGCTGCTTCATCACCCCACACTAGAACACACCACCGGAGTCACACTTCTCCAGTCCCTCTCACCTCCTGCCCCCCGTGGTGCTTGGCGTCGGATCTCGGGGTGATGGCCAGGGTGCCCTCCAGCATGGGATCAACACCCACATGCCGTTCGTACTCCAGCAGAGCCTAAACAGGAAGGAGGGGGCGGGAGGAAAAGGGGAGGACCATGTGTATCTGGGCTTATTACGCCCCCCAGCATGGATCAACGCCCACATGCCGCTCGTACTCCAGAAGAGCCAGGAGATGAGGGTGGAAGAGGGAGGGAGGAAGCGGGGGGGGAGACCATGTGTATCTGGCTATTATGCCCTCCAGCATGGAATCAACGCGCACATGCCGTTCGTACTCCAGCAGAGCCCGGAGAGGAGGTGGAAAGTGGAGGGGAGGACGAGGGAGAGGGGGGGACCATGTGTATCTGGGCTTATCACGCCCTCCAGCATGGGTCCACGTTCACATGCCGCTCGTACTCCAGCAGAGCCTAAACAAGAAGTGGGGGGGGAGGGAGGTAAGAGGAGAAGGGCCATATGTACAGTTGGCGGTTCTAAATGGGGGTTTATTCTTAACACAAACCACCCAAATCCTTTCTCGAGAGACCGCGGAATGCGCTTTCATTTCATCCTTTCAAAAGCGAGCTACGCAACGAACCGAATATCTGGAACCTACACTCACTCTCGCGATGCATTTGTGAGCAGAAATCAATCACAGCGCGCCAAGTCTTTGAGAGCCTCGCTTCAATATCGAGTGGGAGGCGAATATTCTGGCCGCTTCAGAAGATTGTCAGTGGGCTACGCTGTATAGCTTGTCACAACCCACCAGACCCTGCCACAACCCACCAGACCCTGCCACAACCCACCAGACCTGCCATAACCCACCAGACCCTGCCACAACCCACCAGACCCTGCCACAACCCACCAGACCCTGCCACAACCCACCAGACCCTGCCACAACCCACCAGACCCTGCCACAACCCACCAGACCCTGCCACAACCCACCAGACCCTGCTACAACCCACCAGACCCTGCTACAACCAACTCAGCATACCTTCTCGTAGAAACCCCGGAATGACCAGGAGAGTGTCGTGCATGATCTGAAACGGAAAAGAAAGCAACCAAGTCTCAGAATAAGTCATTTCATTTCCATGCGTGAGGAGTCTGTTTTTTAGGCGCCTCAAAAAGAGTGTCGTGCACGACCTGAAGCAAGACAAGACTCAGAATAAATAATTTTCAGCGGGATGGCCTTAACCAGCGAGTGCAGGCAGGATCGCCTGCACAGGCGCAGCTACTATGCCAGCAGAAACGAGGAAATTGCGCTAAGAGGAATACAAGTTGGGAAATTGCACTTAGAGGAATACAAGTTCGAAAATTACAGTAAGAGAAATTCAAGTTAGGAAATTGGCAGACCGTAAAACTAGAGTACATACTTGGGTGGGTCGAATTGGTCTCCAACGACGCGCCAGAGCTTGCCACTTGTCACCTGATGATTGGCACACACAAAAATGGAAGCTTGGAGAATAAGCGGTTCTCAGACAAGAAGAAATAGAAGCAGACTTCAAATCAACGACGTAGGTTTCTTTTCAGCGAGGGAGAGGAAAGTGGCTACCTGTCAAAGCCACCGAAGGAGCAGACAACTTGCCAAAGTCTGCAAGCAGAGAAGGAGGCGGAGAGAGGGGGGGGAGGGGGGAGGGAAGAGGGGGGGGAGAGGGCGAGTGGGGTGAGTGACAGAGGAGAATATAGGAAGGAGGAATGAGAGGAGAGGCAACACGGTAAGGCCAGAAAAGCAGAAAAGCGAGCCGCGACCACGACGCCCCTGCTGCTGCCGCCGCGGAGAGCGCTCAGCCACGCAGAGCGCTCTGCCGCTGAGAGCGCTCTGCCGCTGAGAGCGCTCTGCCGCTGAGAGCGCTCTGCCCCTGAGAACGCCCTGCCGCCGTCCAAAAAAAGCGACTTTCCAAGCGCGTATTTTAAAAGTTCGTACTCTCTATTGCGAGTTCGAGAACGGGGGAAAACGCGTGAGGAGGGTAGGTGGGAGTAGGTCGTACCCCGTTTCGCTAGCCTAGCACAGAACCTTGCTGTCCGCGATAAGAACATAACTCACTTTAACAGATCCACCTCCACGCCATAGAACTTGGGAACCTTAAACTCCTGATGACGCGTCTCGAAGAACGCCTGGAGCTCCTTAACGAACGCCTTAGTATCCGAGCCGCGACCGGGCGGCGTCCGTTGCGGCGTAGTCTCCATCCCCGACGAACCGCCTACGCCGCCGATTAAAGCCGCGGGAGGGCCGGGCGTGCTCGGACCGCTTCCTTCGACCCCACCTTGACCGGGAAAAGAGCTTCCATGAGTTCCGGAAATTCCGGGACCTCCGCCTGGAATGTTCCCAATTACGTGACCGCCGGGAACGGAACCAGGGGTAGAAATCGGAGTCGTTTCTATTTGAGAGGGTATATCTTGGGCGGTGAGGATTTTGGACGGATCTCGAGGAGGTTCGAAGCCGCGCGAAGCGGGTGGGGGGAGGTGCGGGAGATTTGACGACACACCAGATGCCTTTTGGGTCGAGTCAAACGGCACCGGAAGATTCGGCGGTAAGCCAGATCCGTTTTCAGGACGGGCGGCAGCTTCTTTGCCGTCCTCCATATTAGATTAGTCTTGAGCACTGCAGTAACGAACAATCCGCTGGAGATTAACCGTAAGCAACGAAACGGACACTTACGGGTCTATCAGCTTCGCTGGGAACGGACTTGCGCAGAAGTCGCCCTGGCTTGGCCGTTCAAACTAACTCTCGCTGACATCTTCCATATTACTTTACAAGCTGGCGGACAACTAACGCAGCCTACAGCCGAAAGAGAAACTGATCGAGCACGGAGACACCAGGGAGAGGGAACGAAAGATTATGTACGTAGTGGAGCGAAACCAGCGGCTAAGTCGCTGCGTGGTGGAGGGAGAAAGAGATGAAGCACACCAAATCCCCAAGAAACAGCGCCATTCCTCCCTGCTTCCCTAATTTACCATCACCTTCCCCCCCTGCCTCGGGTTTGCTCTGTTCTTGACCTTGCCAGAGACAGATCCATGATTCCCTGCAATTCTCGCACCCCAACACATGGCGGCGGGTGAGGGGAAATCAGTTTCGTCAGAGTTCGTCAGGAGGGCGCGAAAAGTATCGGGTAGCAGGATAAGACTGTCGCAGTTGCTCGTCAGGGACCCTGATTTCTCGCCGAATGGGTTGACGGTTGCCGTCCACGATGGATTCTCTTTCTCACCTCACCAGCTCGAAAGTTGGGCTGGATTTGGATTCCTCTTGCACAAAACCGTCTCTGTTGGATCCTCCTGCGCATTCAGCTATCGATGTTCAATGTTCGATATTAGTATGGAACATATGCTCCACCATAAGGTCTTGTGTGTCTTCATATAGTTCGCTCCAAAAGCAACCATAAGGATCTTACTCACCACCATCCTATCTTTTGAACTAGGTAACGTGTATGAATGACAAATGGGACCAAACAAACCCGCTGAGTCATTCCCATCCACACCTTGACCTATATATATATATATGCTGATGTAGCAGACCAACCTTACAGATGCACTAGCCTTGTGCTTGGGACCGGTGAAAGTGAATGTTCTTCCACTCCCAAGCTCCGTCAGCAGTCTTGCGCCTCTCCCATACTCTCGTCTCGTTGAATGCTTTGCTTTCCACCTTTCCTGAAGCATCAGTCATCTGAATGAGACGCGTGTAGGAGACAATACCCGCATTCCCAGCAATGGCAATGTGGGGTGCAACCATGGTCGACTTTGATGAGCCGTTTCCAGAACTGCGATCAAAATAGTACTTGTGGAAGTCCAGGCCCTTGACCAAGCCACCTGCAAGCCAGAGGTTGAACAGTCAGAGGCAAAAAAGAGCTCTAAACATACTTGATATATCGGGTATTGCAATACCTTGTGCTTCTGGCTCGAAGGCGGTGAGCTGCGCATCAGAGAGGTTTGAATATGTCTTGTAGTCCCCAGTGTCAACTGCATTTAGCAAGGCCTTCGTGTGGTCCAGCAGATCACCCTGTGTGTGACCATAAAAAGTCAGCATTGAGACTGTTTCCAAAAAAGCGATCACGAAAAGAAGCACCTGGTGTATACCTCACGGAACTTGGTAAAAAGAGGAGAAACTGCTTGGAACACTTCGTCTGGGGAACGGGTAGCATCGATCTGCGTCGGAGTCAGGGGGAGAGGAAAGGATAACACTGATAACAGGCTGCATTGCAAATGCATCACCGCATGCAATCAGTCACTCCACTCCAGGTCATAGGATGCTGGCAAATTACGAGCATGGCCACACAGAAGAAAGGGCCATGCTGCCACAACACTTTCGACAACTTGCTTTCCTGGACTTCATGTGAGAGAAGCTCTAATAGGCACATCCAGCTGACATCAGGGAATCAGTGCGTGAGACGCACAATACATCAAAACCTCCCCCACGGACCTTTCGCACTTTGCCGCGCAGGTCATAATGATTCACAACTGGAATACTCTGGTCCAAGAAGACCCGGAACCTTTTTTTGATAGTATCCATGTTGTCGTCAATACGGCCCTGCAGAAAATGAGAGGTTCAACAGTACCCGGAGTGAATCCCTCAGTTACAAAAGTAAGACAGCCTGGCAATAAAAGAATAGAATGAACTCACCTGGTTTCTGCCAAGCAGACGCTTAACCATTACGTCCTCTGGGCAATCAAAGAATAGAATAAACTCAGGATCGACTCCAGTCTGCAAGCAATGAAAAGCTGTCAAAAGTCTGAACCAGTACACCCGATAAATGAACAATGCAATTTTACTTTACCTGCTTCTCGAAAACAGTCCTGTTATCATTGTTCCGAGGGAACCCGTCAATAAGAAACTTGTTATTCCCGCTCTCCTTCATTGCCTTCTGAAGAAGACCAACAGTGACCTCGGCTGGAACTATCTTTCCCTCCTTGATCATGTTCTGAATCATGTTTCTGTAGCAGCCGAAAAACGTAGACCTCAGCAACGATACGATGTACAGCAGAAGCGACGCTAAATAGCAAAGAGAATCATTCATCCCTTACCCGTGAGAAGATCCGGACTTGATCTCGGCGCGAAGTAGGTCGCCAGCGCTCAAGTGAGTGAATCCGTATTCCTCTACAATCTTGGCGCACTGAGTTCCCTTGCCACTCCCAGGACCGCCTGCTCCGAGCAGTGCAGTGATAGTTTCTTAGAGATTTCAACGGAAGTTTACGTCAGCGGGCTACAGATAACGACGAGAGGAACGTACCAAGGACGAAGATGATCTGCGGCTTAAAAGATCCATCTGGTCCTCCGCTAGCGGACTTTCCGGCACTACCTTCCTGCACGGACGCAAACGAAGACTTCAGTTATCGGGTTATCACTAGAAGGAGAGGAGAAAGGATATAGCTATGGCGGCCCGTACCGATGAGGCTTCCGAAAAAGCTATCGATTCGGAAGGACTGACGACTGCCGGAAGAGTGGCTACTCCACCGGCTGCCAGAAGCCATCCCAGACGACACCACTTCTGTTCACAGAAATACGTCTACGTTCAAACAACCGTAGAAAAACACATCCTCTGATATGAAGCAAAAAAATGTAAAAGAAAACTGAGACTCTCACATTCGTCTCAGGGGAAGTGACCCCCACAGAATCCGCAGTTCCAGCTGCGCCTGACTTTTGCCCGTGAGCCGCGCATGGCACCGCGTCTGCCTGCAAGGCGCTGGACGAGTCGTTAACGACATCGAAAAGGACGAGAATGACTATCCACTTCTCTCGTTACTCACAAGCACACGCGGAGAGAACACCGACGGGAGGCGACCACGCTTCTTGAGGATCTCAGTAAGAGCATTTCTGGCAGCCATGTTGCTTGATCGGCGAAGATCAAGAGGTTGACCAAGCCAACAAATGGACAGTGATATCAGCCTAGCCACGAAACTAGCAGAGAGAAGGCTGAAGAGATGCGTGGTGGAAAACACGGAGATTGCTTGAGGATCAATGTATGGTTGGTGGTGATTTGGTCGCACCAATCGAGCAGAGGTAGATCCGTCAGCCCAGCTGCGAGGCGCGGTTAATAAAAAGCTAAGGTTATTTTTTTCTTTTGATAGAGCGTGTCGATGTAGTATAATGGTCAGTATCTCCGCCTGTCACGCGGAAGATCCGGGTTCGATCCCCGGCATCGGCGCTTTGTTGTCGTCAACTGAATTTTTCCCAGCCTTTCCTTTCCATCTTCAAAGACGGCAGAGATTTTCGCAATCATTTTTTCTTCGCCCTCGTCTAAGGTAATTTGGTCATGTCCGTCTCGAGCGCTCTCGAACAAATGGCTGCTCTGTCACAGGACGATCGATTAGCCTCTCGCAATTCCCCCTGCACTTCCTCCGCCTCCCCCTCTTCCGCCTCCGCCGCCTGCTGCGCGTGCCATGGCGCCTCCGCTCCCCCGATGCACCAGTCGTTGGAGGAGATGGACTTCGAGCGGGGCCTTGGGGGTGCCGCGCAACGGGGGGACGTTGCGCGGGTGCGCTTTCTGCTCAGTCGAGGCGCTTGCGCGGACGGGTGCCTGCCACGTGGCACCGACGGAGGGGATACCGGCAGCGCGCCACCGAACGGGCACACGCCTCTGATCTACGCCGCGCGTGCCGGACACGTGGAGGTCTGCGATTTGCTGCTGAAGGTGCGTGAAACGCAGCCTTTACCTGCTGCTGACGAGATAAACGCCCCATTGCATCAGCTTCCCCTTCGTGTTTCTCAATCTGTGAGTCTCTGTTTCGTAAGTTCCTAAGAACCAACCTCCCCGTTCCATCCCGGGGGTTGCAGGGGCAGGAAGGCGTCACCGCGTGATCCCTGTCCTATGTCCCCCTCCGTCCCCCTCCGCCCCCCCCCGCCCCTCCCCCGCCCCCCTTCTTTCCCCCCTCCGATCCCTTCCTCTCCATCCTTCCCTCGCCATCCTCACTCCCTACACTGAGCATCAGTAGCAGGAAGAACCAGAGCAGGGGGCGCCACCGCTCTGCACCGCACTGTAGGGAGGCAGGGACCAAGAGCGGACCATGGTGCCTCATTTCTCCCCTACCACCCCTTCCTCCCTGACCTCCCCGCAACAAGATGGCTCCTGAGTCGACTCAGAAGTCATATCTCGCCCACCACCCCACGTTCCTTGACCTCCCTCCCTGCAGCGCGGAGCGTCAGTGGGGTTGAACACTAGAGCAGGCTGCGCCACCCCTCTGCACCGCACTGCACCGAGCTGCAGGGGCGGGGCCTAAACTCAGGGTTGCTGGCCCATGATATTTTCTCCCCACCTCCCTGCAGCACGAAGCGTCAGTGGGTGTGGGAACGAGATCGAGAGCAGGGGCGCCACCGTTCTGCACCATGCTGCAGAGGGAAAGAGTTGACCGTGCAGCGTCCTAGCTCCCCAACATCCCATCTCACCTTACTCCCCTGCAGCAAAGAGCATCACTGGGAGCGAGAATGAGAGCAGGGGACGCGACCGCTCTGCACCGCGCAGCAGGGGCTGAGCATGAAGGGGTTGCTGGCACACGAACAAAGTAACCCCCCCCCTCCTCCTCCCCCACCTCCCTGTCTCCACTTTCTGCAGCACGGAGCGTCAGTGGGGGCAAGGACGAGGGCAGGGGGCGCCACCGCTCTGCACCGCGCAGCAGGGGGGGGGGCATGAGGGGGGGTGTGGGTGGCTCGTGTACATGTAACTTAAGATATGTGGATGACTTTTTGCCTGCCCGTTGCAGCACGGGGCTTCAGTTGGAGCAAGGACGAGAGCAGGGGCTGCCACCGCTCTGCACCGCGCTGCCGGGGCGGGGCATGAGCAGGTGGTGCAGCTGCTGCTGGCGCATGGTGCTGACGTAGCAGCTGTGGATTCTGATGGGTTGACTGCTGCGGATAAAGCCAGTGAGTGGGTGGGAGGGAGAGGGAGAAAGGGGGGGTGGGGGGGGAAGAGGTAGGAAGAGACAGGCGAGGGTATTGAAGATGTGTATATGGGGCAGCTGTGGATGCTGATGGCTTGACTGCTACAGACGAAGCTGGTGAGTGGGTGGGAGGGAGAGGGAGAGAGGGGGGGGGGGGGAGAGGTAGGAAAAGACAGGCTAGGGTATTGAAGATGTGTAAACGGGGCAGCTGCGAGTGCTGGTGGCTTAACTGCTACAGACGAAGCTGATGAGTGGGAGTTTGGGAGAGGGAGGGCGAGGGAGTGTAGGCAGAGAGATGGGACATAAAAGAGGAGGCCTAGAAATGGGGCTGCTGTTACTGCTGATGGCTTGAGTGCTGCAGAGAAGGCTAGAGAGTGGGGGTGGGGATGATGTATTTGCTTCCACCGCATGTCTCGCATTATCGCTTGCTCCTCCTGTGCCCATGTGCGCCCACATACTGACATCTCCCCATGATGCCGTGATGTTGCGCCTTGGCCGTGTACCCACCAGTGTTTTTTGCTGCAGAGTGTCAGAATCATGAGAGCATTGTAGCCCTACTCTCCCCCCTCTCTCCCCTCTCTCCCCTCTCTCCCCTCTCTCCCCATGTACCCACTGGTGCCTGATGCTGCAGGTTGTCAGAATCATGAGAGCATTGTAGCCGTACTCTCTCCCCTCTCTCCCCTCTCTCCCCATGTACCCACTGGTGCCTGATGCTGCAGGTTGTCAGAATCATGAGAGCATTGTAGCCGTACTCTCTCCCCTCTCTCCCCTCTCTCCCCTCTCTCCCATATGTACCCACTGGTGCCTGATGCTGCAGGGTGTCAGAATCATGAGAACATTGTAGCCCTAATCTCTCCGCACCAGCTGAAGCCCTAATGACTGCTGGCTGGCATTGTGACTTAGTGCCCCAAGATAAAATAGCAAACCCCATTCAAATTGGACCCAGCTTGAACAAGAAAATGGGCTTGGTTAGAAGAAGAGTTGGGTTTTTTTGGGGGGGGCAGCTGGCTATGTTCGGGATAGATTCGGAAGCAGTTAGTGCATGGAAACTATCGAATTCGAGGCGGGACTTACTGTTCACTTGCTCGTGTGACGACAATCTTGCCTCTCGTACAGCTGGCGAGGCGTCGCACTACTTCAGATCCCGCTGTGACACCCCAGAAAAAAACCTGTGTCAAAGTAGTGAAGTGAGCTCTAGGGAGCCATGTGACATAAGGGTTTGGTGTTGTACTCTCTAAGAGCACTAACCCATCTAGCCTATAATTATACATGCACAGCAAATGTTGAAGTTGACACACCCCCTAGGCTAGATAAGGGGCAGTGCCTAGCAACAGACACAGCTCAAGGCGGCACTACTAGTCCGACCTCTGAAGCAGGGGTCCGAAGACCAGTCAACAAGAGTTCTAACTCAACAAGAGTATCTCAGGGCGGCACTGTCAACTTATACATATTATCTATGTAGAAGTTATAGGCTAGACTGAGGTATGCTTCTAGTGAGTACAACCAACTAGTATTTGTTCTAGGTTTCCACCTCTAGTAATCATTCGTTTCTACGTTAACATGGTATCACGCTTAGGTTAGGATCCCCCCGCCTACCGCTTCCGCCCGTCGCGCCTCCTAGGCCCCGTCGCGCCCCCTAGGCCCCGTCGCGCCCCCCCTGGGCCCCGTCGCGCTCGTTAGGCCCCGTCGCGCCCCCCTGGGCCCCGTCGTGCCCGCTGGGCCCCGTCGCGCCTCCTAGGCCCCGTCGCGCTCCCCCTAGGCCCCGTCGCGCCCGCTGGGTCCCGTCGCGACCCCTAGGCCCTAACGCGCCCCCGCTGGGCCCCGTTGCGCCTCCTAGGCCCCGTCGCGCCCCCCATGGGCCCCGTCGAGCCCGCTGAGCCCCGTCGTGCCTCCTAGGCATCGTCGCGCCTCCTAAGCCCCGTCGCGTCCCCCCCCTCTGGGCCCCGTCGCGCCCGTTCGGCCCCGTCGCGCCCCTCCTAGGCCCCGTCGCGCCCGCTGGGCCCCTTCGCGCTTCCTAGGCCCCGTCGCGCCTGCTAGGCCCCGTCGCGCCCCCCCTGGGCCCCGTCGCGCCCGTTAGGCCCCGTCGCGGCCCCCCTGGGCCCCGTCGTGCCCGCTGGTCCCCGTCGCGCCTCCTCGGCCCCGTCGCGCCCCCCCTGGGCCCCGTCGTGCCCGCTGGGCCCCGTCGCGCCCCTTAGGCCCCGTCGCGCCCGCTGGCCCCTGTCGCGCCTGCTGTTAGCGCTCGCCCGCCTGGCCTCCTCCTAGTGCCGCTCGGCCTCCTCCTAGTGCCGCCCGGCCTCCTCCTAGTGCCGCCCGGCCCCTTCCTAGCGCCGCCCGGCCTCTCCTCAGCGCTGCCCGGCCCCTCCTTGTGCCCGACCGGCCCCAGCAGCACCAGCCTGGCCCCTCCCAGCACCAGCCCGGCCCCAGAGCACCTGCCCGCCTCCCCTGCTCGGCCTGCCGTGTCCTCTCGGGCCCTGTGTCTTCTGCTTGCCTGCGCTGGGACGCCTAGCTGCTGCCCTACTGGAGAGTGCTGCCGCCGTGTCCCCGCGCCGCTGTGCTCCTGTGCCGCTGAGGAGCTGTGCTGCTGTGCCGCTGTGTCGCTGAGGAGCTGTGCCGCTGACCCTGCACGATGGCTGACTTTGTGCTCCGCCTGGACGCTGAGGGCCACGCGGTTGACTTCGCCGCCTGGCTCTCCGATCTTCGCCGCCAGCTTACAGGTCAGCGCCAGGATGGCCACTCTCTGGTTGTCCATGCTGATGGCTTGCTCCCCCGTCCCCCTGCACCTACTCCCCTCCCTGCTGACCCCTCCTCTGATGACTGTGAGGCTTTCTCTACTGCTGCGCTGGCCTGTGCGATCTGGGACTCACGCGATGCAGTAGCTCAGGTTGCTATTAGTCACGCCCTCCCTGTGTCTGAGCGCTCGCGTTTTGCTACTGTTGAAACGGCCAAAGCTTATTTAGACGCCGTTATTGCTCGCTATTCCACCCCTGCCTCCGCTTCTGCTGGCCGCTTGCTCTTTCCGATGCTGTTCCCAGACCTGGCTGCCTTCCCTACTGTCGCAGATTTTGCCACTCATTTGCGTGCCCTAGAGACTCGCTATCGCACTGCCAGCACTGCTGCCCAGCTCACTGCGCTCCCCCCTCCTTTCTGCATGACGCTCTATTTTATCGCTATGCGCCTGCCAGACCGCCTCGCTAGTGCTCGCGACCACTTTCTTAGCCAGCACCCGGGTGACCTCACCCTGACCGCCTTTGTTGACACCCTCACTGAGATCGAGACTCGCCAGCGCACTATCGCTCAGTCGAGCGGTGCGCCGCCAGTCTCTATCTTTCACGGCTGTGCCCCATCCCCGTGCACGTTCACTGACGTTTCGGCTGCGGTCGCCACGGCGACCCCTCTTACCGAGACGGCTGCTGCTGTCCACCCGCAGCAGCGCTCGCGTCGCGGTGGCCGTGGCCGCCAGGGAGGTAGGGGTGGTGACGCAGGTGGTAGTGGTCGTGGTGGTGGTGACGGTAGTCCGCCTGAGGGGACTACCACCGGTGGGCAGGAGCAGCAGTCCCAGCAGCAGCAGGACCAGCCCCAGCCGCAGCCGCCGTCCCAGCAGCACCCGCCGCAGCCGTGGGCTCGTCTCCCGCCTGGTTGGCCCGGCACCTCCGGAGGCGGTGGCCGTGGTGGCGGCCCGCGCAGCTTGGCGTCTACCAGCGGCTCCAGTGCTGTGACCTGCCAGTACCAGCTTCAGACCGGGCCTCTCCGCGGCACTCTGTGCCGCCGCCCGCACCCGACCGCCCGCTGTTTCCGCCGCCTCGACGATCTTTTTCGTCGTCGCTTTGGCCCGGCCCCGGACCTCCCTGACTGGCACAGCCTGCTCCGCCAGGGCGTGCCGATCTTTGAGTTAGACATGGATCAGATAGGTGCTGCTTTGCATGCTTTGTATGCTGACGCTTCTAGTGTTGATGGATCTTACTACCCTGTGTACTCTAGTTTAGGTGTTTCACCCTTGTGTAGCTTAGCTTCCCCTGCTGCGACAGGCGTAGGACTGCCTAGGTTGCCTAGTCTAGTCGCTGCACCGGCTCCGTCCCCGGCCCCCGCCACTGCGTCGCTGTCCTTCACTCTCGACTCTGGTGCTTCTGCCTGCTTCTTCCGCGACCGTTCCACGCTCACGCCGCTTGCTGCACCTGCTGTTGTCTCTCTCGCTGACCCCTCTACGGGTCCGGTCGTCGCGCGCAGTTCTACGTCCCTTCCCTGTCCGGCAGTTCCCTCGGGCTCCCTTACTGGCCTCCACGTTCCCTCGTTCTCCAGGAACCTGGTTGGTGTCGGCTGTCTCCAGGACCTCGGCGTCACCACCACGTTCCCCGGGCACGAGCGGTTCGCTGTCTGTTCTGAGGCTGTCTCAGGTTCCCCCTTGCGACGTTCCCCCGGGACCCGGTGTCCGGTCTGTTTACCCTACACACCGCTTCCCCCCCGGTTGGTGCGTCCTCCCAGGTCGCTGCAGCTTGCTCGTGTCGGTCCCTCACTCACCCCTCCCTTCTCTGGCACCACCGCTTAGGTCACCCTGCTCTCCCGCGTCTGCGTCACATGTCCCAGCACGGTCTTGTCTTAGGTCTCCCCGCGTCGCTCCCTGCCCTTCCTCCCTCGACTGCGCCACCGTGCACGCCTTGCGTCGAGGGTCGGCTCCGCCGTGCTCCTCACTCCTCCTCGCTGCGTCCTGCTACTGCCCCCCTTCAGACCCTGCACTTGGACGTTTGGGGCCCTGCCCCCGTCCCCGGACCGCGCGGTGAGCGTTACTTCCTTGTGCTTGTCGACGACTACACGCGCTACACCACGGTGTTTCCCCTGGAGCGGAAGGCCGACGTGCCCGACGTTCTTCTCCCGTGGGTTGTGGCTGCGCGTCTCCACCGCGGTCTCCCCGTGTTGTGTCTCCACTCCGACCGTGGCGGCGAGTTCGCCTCTGGTCGGCTTGGACAGTTCTGTCGTGCGGAGGGCATCACCCAGTCGTACACGTTGCCGGACTCGCCACAGCAGAATGGGGTTGCTGAGCGCCGCATCGGCTTGGTCATGGAGGTCGCCCGTACCTCCATGATCCATGCCGATGCCCCCCATTTTCTGTGGCCGTTCGCTGTTCGCTACGCGGCTCACCAGCTTAACCTGTGGCCACGCTCCCAGCGGCCGCAGGTTTCGCCGACCCTCCTTTGGACCGGGTCCCCCGGTGACGCGTCTGCGTTCCACGTCTGGGGCTGCCTTGCTCACGTTCGTGCCTCTGGCACGGACAAGCTCACTGCCCGCACTGTCCCCTGTGTCTTCCTCAGTTTCCCCCTGGACTCGTCTGACTGGCTTTTCTACCACCCGCCGTCTCACCGCTTCCTCCACTCTCGTGACGTCACCTTTGATGAGTCCGTCTCCTTCTACCGCCGCTTCCCTCACCGAGGTCTCCCAGTTGCCCCCCCCCTTTTCCTTGCTCCCTCTCCCCCGGTAGCCCCTGCCCCTCTCCCGCCTCGTCCTGCCCCGTCTGGTGTCTCCCACGTCACTCCCCTCCCGTCGGTTGTCCCCGTTGAGGAGTCTGCTGACTCTGGTGGTACCCCCGGTCCGTCCTTGCCGCGTCCCCCTTCCCCGGTGCCTCCGCCCCCACTGTCGCAGTCGCCGACCCCGCTGCCGCCGCCGTCGCCGTCGCCGCCGCAGCCGTCGCCGCTTTCGTCGCCGCCGCCGCCGCTGTCGCTGCCGCAGCCGTCGCCGCTGTCGCCGCCGCCGCAGCCGTTGCCGCCACTGCCGCCGCTGCTCTCGGCCCCTGGGGGTGCTGGTGTGGAGGAGGGTGTTCGTCTTGCGGCTTCTGGGGGTGCCGCTGGTGTTGGAGGGGGTGTTCGCTCTGGGGGTGTTGGTTCTGGGGGTGCTGCTGTTGAGTGTTCTGCCGACGGTCGTTCTGCCTCTGCTGGTCCGAGAGTTCCGGCCCAGCCGTCGTCGCCGCCGCAGCAGCCGTCGCCGCCGGTTTCCGCTCTCCGCCTGCTCGGCCTTCCCTCCCCGGACCGCGCGCCGGTGTCTCCCCCACCGCCTCCTGACCTCCCTGTCTACGGTCCTGTGTTCCCGCCGCCAGACTCGTCTCCGGCCCGTCTTCCTCCTCGTTCCCCTCCTGTGTCTCCTCCGCTGTCCCCTGACCCTACCCCTCCGTCTCACGTTTGGGCTCGCCGTCCCTCCCGTGCTCGTCCCGTCTCTCCTGTCCTGCCCACC